ATGTAGCAGTGTTGTATCCAGCCTCAGATTGTGCAGCTTTGGACTGAAGAAACAAGCTAAACAATCCATGTTTCCTCTGGAGAGCTGCAGCTGAACGTTGTTGTCTTTTTTTCTGCACATTTGGAAATAACTAAAAACGGCAGCACGGTGGCTCAGTTGGTAGAGCTGATGCCTCTCAGCAAGAAGGTCACCGGTTCAAACCCCGGTCCGGGGACCTTTCTGGGTAGAGTTTGCATGTTTTCTCTGTGCATGCGTGGGTTTTTTCCAGGTACTCCAGCTTCCTCCCACAGACCAAAAACATGACTGTTAGGTTAACTGATAACTCTAAATTGTCCCTAGGTGTGAGTGAGAGAGGGAATGGTTGTTTGTCTCGTTTGTCTCTATGTGTGTCTCTGTGATGGACTGAGACCTGTCCAGGTGTAACCCCGCCCCTCACACTGTGACTGCTGGATATGGGCACCAGTGACCCTGTGACCCTGAAAGGAAGAAGRGTGTACAGAAAATGGATGAAAAAGTCATCAGATCATTTTGACCAGATTTGACTTCATCCTCATTTCCACATGATGGCTGACATTTGAGTTTTAGTGATTTTTACAGCTGCTCAGGGATGTTTTGCCCCCCCCCCCCATCAGTCTGACCAATCACATCTGGAGCTAACTCCTCCCACAAAGTAAGAAACTCCTACTTAGTGACTGCAGAGCCCCTTGTTGCATCAGTCCTGAGCTTAGACCAGTTACCATCCACAGCAATCTCATCCATCACCATCAGAACCATCAGAACCATCAGAACCTTCAGAACCTGCTGCTAAACCTCCACCATCCAATTACAGCAGATTATTCTGTAAGAGCCTTAGTGTCCCACAGGGACCAGGACTGATACGGATCCATGTTCAGCTCCCCCACCTGCTGGACGGACAGGTTAATTACCTGAGCAGTCCATCAGTCCATCAGCACCTGGCACCTGTTCAGTGTTAGTCCAGGTTCCAGATGTTGTGATGACAGAAGCAGAGCTTCGAGTGGAGACCAGCAGAGGACAGACTGTAGGCTTGTGTTCAGGCCTCCAGTCTGTCCTCACAGTGAAACACTGCTTCCTGAAGGCTTTTGTCTCATCGTAGAGACTAACATCAGCTACACCTCGTCTAACTCATATCTGTAAAACTGACAAACAAAAGATGTTTGTTGTGAGAAAACTCAGTGTTGATGTGGAGCTGACAGAGCAGTGGTTCAAACCTCAGCGTCTCTGTTAAGATTCAAACCAAACAGGCTCCAGACGTTCCTCAGTGTTCCCACCACATTCATAAAAACACATTCAGAAGAAGAGATTAACTGAAACACACCATGAACACAATGAAGTCATAAATCTGAGTGGAAAACACATCACACTGTGATAAAACACTGAGTAAAGTCTGAAAATAAAGATTCATTAAAACAATTAAACCAAATATTTACGACTGTAAACCAGCGGTTCTCAAACTGTGGGGGGG